GTCCTGTGGATGTTTGCAAACTCCCCATTGTGTCGTCGTCTTGATCACACTGTCCGTGGCTGCGGAACCTGTGCACAAACTGTAGGAAAACATCATCAGAAAAATAATTAGCAGATATAGACAGAAATTAGAGGATTCTGTTTCCATTTGTAATTTATTTTATTCTTATTTCTTGCCGTGTAGATTGGAATTTGATTGAAGTGTGGCCGTGGAATTTACAACTGTCGTCTAAAGTTTATTGTGCGGCAGACACGCTGGGGAAAATGACTTACCTCTGGAACTGTTTGCGTGCATCCATCTGGACAAGATTCATCTCTTTCTTCTTCTTTCCCATCTCGATCACCTTCTTCGCTGATGTAGGCGGGGTGATCAGAACCTGTGGCCATGTGGAAGAGAGATGGCAGCAGATGCTGGGGTGTCTTCACCAACTGCTCACTGGACTGGACTGCACGACGCTGAGCGGCATGTTCGCAGCCAGTTCGATCTGCGTGCTGCAGAGGACGAACTGTCAAGGGCTGAAACTGCCGTTCAGATGCTGGAAACCAGCGGGACAGTGCTACAGATAATTGACCGGGGACGAATGGCCCTCGGTCAATTTGTCGCTGAGCAGTCGGCGAATACAGCTGGTACAGGGGCCAAAGAAGAAGAGAAAGGAGAAGCAAGTGAGAGGAGAGAAGAACCGGAATTAACAGAAGAGATAATGGACGTCACAATCAAACAGTTGCAAGCTGCGTTAGATGCTGAACTGAAAAAGAAAGACGAATACCAGAGGCAGAAAAAAGAACAAGAACAACATACAAGAAAGGTAGAAGAAACCAAGCAGTAATTTCACATTGCGGAATCAGAAACTGGTCTACGTCGGTCTTGCAAAACATGACGGCCTACCTAGCACACCTAGAACTTAAAATTGACAATGTCACCGCTGAAGTACAGACAGTGACCAGACTTGTAAAAGGGAAGAACAAGGTTGTGCATGAAGAGGAAGCCGAGGAGAAAGAAGAAAAGGAGCCTCAGGACAAGTTGATGAAAGACGCCATGAAACCCAGTGCTCAGTAAGAACCCGAACCCACCAAGAAAGAAGCCTCAAAGAAGGAAGAAAGGGAAAGACCAAGGAAAGAAAAAGTGAAAATGAAACTTCCATTCACTTCGGTAAGAAAGGTAAGAAATGTGAACATCTGCTTTTATGGATTGCTGAAATACAGACTTGCTGTCGGACCACACCAGTGGCAGAGGACAGCCAAGTGGCACTCTCCACATCGTGTTTTGGAGAAACTCCCAAAGAATGGGTGTTGTCGGAAGCTAACGCTGCTGGATTCGAGGACATCAGGGACTGGGCTCGAACCATGACACTACGGGAATTTCTACAAAAGACAAAGGAGAGATTCCTCGACAAAACGACAACCGATAAGGCATTCGACGAGCTCACTACCATTAGTCAGAAATGTTGGTCAAATGTTGAATCTCTATCCCGTGAAGTGGATTGTTTGTTGCAGGTACCTGGATTGAACTTGCAAAAAAAACAGGTTTTGTACATCTACTCACGGGCATTGTCGGAGCCCATACGAGGACAGCTCGTGGCAGATGCCAAGTCTGGTAAGTATAACTATAAGCGATTCAGGCATCTATCCCTTCAACGAGAGTAGATGACCTCACAGGTTGAGGGAACCTACGCTAACGTTGTGAGGAGTGGACCAACAGGGGGTCTGGGAATGGGAAAAGAGTCTTGTGGCGGTGAGTCAGGAAAGGGTGACGTTATCGGAGACCGCCACGCCGCGTCAACGAAAGTTAACTCGACGCAGCCAGCCTCCACGCCATGACAAGTCTGCGCCAGAGGCAACCAGCAGTCCCGGTCAACCGAGCGCTAACACGTCGGGCAATTCCCCAAGGCCGAAACTACATAAAAGATGGTGCGACGGTACAACCCTCAGGTAACCTCATCATCCCTTCTAGACAGAACCATCGCGATCGCAAGGGCTGAATTAGTGGGGCCTAGTCCAAGCGGCCTGGGAGACGGACCGTAGGTTAGTGAGAAAATTGAGTTTGACCGTTTGGGACCGGAACGACACGACTGCGAGACCGGGTCGAGAAAGGGACGGCCCAAAACGACCAAGTAAATAAGCAATTGGACAATTCTGATAATTAAAGGGGGTCCTGTGCTATTTTCGGCATGGGACTGACCCTTCGTTTTCCAAAGTCGGGCCTGGACCTATCCCAGTCCCATGCTAAAATTAGCAGAGTCCCGTGCTCTTTTTGGCTCAGGACTGACTGTTTGACTACTTGGGACTAGGTCCTGTGCTAAGATTAGCACAGTCCAGTGCTATTTTTGGCACAGGACTGACCAGTCCCGTGCTAAAATTAGCACAGTCCCTTGTTGTTTTTGGCACTGTTCGACTACTTGGGACTGGGCCTTCCCAATTTCGTGCTAAAATTCCCATAATCCCCTGGCATTTTTGGCATGGGACTGACTGTTCGACTACTTGGGACTGAGCCTATCCCAGTTCTGTGCTAAAATTAGCATAGTACCTTGCTATTTTTCGCACGGGATTGACTGTTTGACTACTTGGGACTGGGCCTGTCCCAGTCCCGTACTAAAATTAGCACATTCCCATGCTATTTTGGCATGGGACTACTTGGTACTGGGCCTATTTCAATCCCATGCTAAAATTAGCAGTCCCGACACGGGACTGACTGTTCGACTACTTGGGACTGGGCCTGTCCCAGTCTTGTGCTAAAATTAGCAGAGTCCTATGCTTTTTTGGCACAAGACTGACTGTTCGACTACTTGGGACCAGGCCTGTCTTAGTCCCGTGCTAAATTAGCACAGTCCCATTGTCGCATACCGTAACGGTACAGACCAGAACAAGAACCGACCTCTCTCACATAGTACAAGATAGCATTGCATGGTACCCCGCTAAGCCCTGCATTTGCTTTGATGAAGGAATGTGTGTCATGGTACCTTCCGTAAGCCCTGCATTTGCTTTGATGCAGGGATGTGTGTCATGGTACCTTCCCACATCTTGGTGTCACAGCTGCTAGACAAGAACACTTTAGGACATATTTGATTTTGTCTTGAATCAGCATATGGTCAAACACATGTGTATGAAGTAGGTTGTGTCTAGGATAGAAGCTCGACAGCTGGATGCATCACTCGTAAAGTAGGGAGCATGGGCATGAGCGGCGAGCGCTCGTAAAACAACTCATCTTGCCCTAAGACCGGTACTGACCGGTATGCGACCGAACCGGTGTTGATGCAGTGAGCTGTAAGTCTTGAGAGCGAACCTTCAAATCCTGGTGGGCACGTCCTATCTGCATCGGTAAATAATTCCTAAGGTCCTTGCTGGCTGACCTTAAGCTGTTGGTTGCCCACCAGCCTAACAGGGACTGGGACTGCTGACTCTGCATGGTGGACTTCCACCACTTGCCCACTTGCCTAGACCTACAGTGGACTGACTTCCGAAAGGCCACTTCTAGAACTCTCTACCTGGCCTTTTGGTACTGTAGCAGCTACGACTCTGCCCTTTCAGTTAAGTAGCAACTACGACTTTGACCCTTCGGACAATCTACAGCTACGACCTCTGGACTGTCTAGACTCCTACCCGACAGGTCTACAGTTCGAATCCCCTATACCCTGTAGCCTACAAGATCCTACCTACCACTGACGGTCCTACAGGTCACAGGTTCAAATCTACGGGTTGACACAGGTACTGTACACAGGTAAGGTGGGGAACTAGGGATCGAGCCCTGGGATCTGCATCAGCTACTGCGAACTGGTGAATACCGTTTCACTCGCGCCGGCCTGAATTCGAGGTCCTCCGAGAATATTTCAGTCCAAGGCAGGACCTTTACCCTTTTTGTCCCGTTCATAAGCGTGAACTATGTCGGGAGCTGTTTCTAGAAGTTCAGATCTAGTAAACCACCGGTCGTCTTAGGGTTCCTGATAAGCAAATCGGACCTTGTACTACTTCTGGGGACGACCTCTACCCCCTGTTCTAAACACATCTTCACCTACAATGCCGTCAATGTCGTACCTTCCATCCATGTCTGGTGGGATCATGGATCGTCTAGACGGGAACTGATCACTCACTGTGCATGGTAACAACTTTGACGCATGGAAAACTGGGTAGGTGTGGAGGTGTAGTGGAAGCTCCACACTGTAGGACGGCCCATCCTCGCCACCTTTGACTTCTAGAACTGGCCATGGCCCTCTATACGTAGGCAGTAACTTCTCCGAGATGTCCTCCTCGGAGCAAACTCTTTAGCGCTAACCCAGACTAAATCGCCTACTTAGAACTGTGAGGGGCGACGATGTCTGTTGGCTTGCTCTATCATCCTATGCTGGGCCTTCCTGAGGTTCTCTACAACGGTAGCTAGTTCTTTTTCGTGCTGTATAGCAAACTCCCTAGTACCGGGCGGTAGCCTATGGATCTGATCCTTGTTAAGTCCCTCAAATGGTCTACGCGGTCTGAAGGACTTGCAGTTCGTTGGGAGTGTCGCACGCAGACAGATGCACACTATTGTTGTAAGCACTGGCTACCTTGGGAAGCATCTCGTCCCAGCCAACTTGATCTGGGCTAATGTACATTCTCAGAACTTGCTGCAGGATCTTATTCATTTGTTCAGTCTGACCGTTGGTCTCTGGGTGACGGCCAGATGACATTAGCAACTTAGAGCCATAGACTTTCATCAACTCCTGCCAGTTCTGACTCGTGAGCCGGGTGTCTCTATCACTGACTATGGACAATGGGACCCCGTGCTCACTGACCCAATGATAAAAAAACTTACGAATGACTTAACTCTGTTCGTGCCTCTGAAGGCAAAGGAACAAAAACAGCATACTTACTAAACCTATCGACTATCACCATGACTTGGCTCTTGCCATGTCTACTCTTGACGCCCGCGTCCATAAAGTCGATGGATACCGAATCTCCGGGCTGATCAGGGATAGGTAAGGGTCTGAGAAGGCCTAACGGGGCATGCATAGTGGTCTTATTCCGCTGGCAGACTTTGCAATTGCGAACATACTCTATGCAGTCATTCTTCATACCCGGCCAAGTGCGCGCGTGCATTACATTGGCTAGAGTCTTTTGCCAACCAAATGACCCTCTGTGTCGTGACATTCTCCTAAGATCAGACTGCGGATCTCTTCACTATTGGGAATGCACAATCGGTCGAATACATTAGTCTTCTCAAAGAGCAATCCCTCAGTAGTGCGGTAATCTGGCTCGGTCTCAGGGGCCTCCTTTACTTTCTTAAGAAGTTCACTATAGATGGGGTCCTGCGCGTACGCTTCTCTGACCTTTTGCTGAAGGTCTTGTCCGGTGTCTAGATAGTGAACTATCGCTCCAAAGTAGTAAGCTCTCCTACTCAGAGCGTCCGCAACTACATTATACTTCCCTTTGACTGGCTTGAGCTCGAAATCATACTGGTCTATCTCTGCGGCCCACCTAATACGGTTAGGTGTCATCTTGGCCTGCGTCTTCAACCACCTTAACGTTTCGTGGTCGGAATAAACTTTGAAGTGCCTCCCAAGCAAGTAGTGCTTCCAGTGTTCTAATGCTTGCCTGAGAGCGTAGAGTTCCCTCTCATAGGTAGATGTCGCAACCTTCTCTGAAGGCATCCTAGCAGACATGAACTCTACGGGCCTATAACCATTGCCATCGTCTTGCTGCAACACAGCACCTATGCCGTACTGACTGGCGTCCGTAGTGACGACAAAGGGCAAGGACGGATCGGTTACCTTAAGGACTGGGTATTCTATCAACGCTTGCTTCAACGTCTTCATGGCAGACGTGCAGTCCTTATCCCACTTCCAAATGGTTTCTTTCCTCAACAATCTGCGAAGGGGCGCAGCCCAAGAACGACCGCAATTCTGTTAACGTACGCGGCGTGGGCCAATCTCTAATCGCTGCGATTTTGCAATCTTCTGGCTTAACGCCGTCTCCGTCTAAGACGTGGCCTAAGTATAAAACTTGGGTTTTCGCCCAATCGCACTTCTTTGCATTGATCTTGAAGTTAGCCCCTCTCTGCTTCTCCAAGACCTGCCTGAGATGAGCCTGATGTTCTTGGAGGGTCTTGCTAAACACTAAGATATCATCTAAGTAGACAACAACAAATCTATCTAACCATGGCCTAAACAACTCGTTCATACAACGCTGGAACGTCGCTGGCGCATTGGTTAGTCCAAAGGGCATCACTATGAACTCATAGTGCCCATATCTAGTCCGGAAGGCTGTCTTATACTGATCATCAGGATGCACCTCTATCTGATGATATCCGGACTTCAAATCTATCTTGGAGAAGTATTCTGCCCCTTGCACTCGATCCAAGAGATCATCTATCCTAGGCAGTGGCTCAGCATTCTTCACTGTAGCAGCATCCAAACCTCCATAGTCTATGCACATCCTCAGCTCTCCCTCCTTCTTGGGGACAAATAGAACAGGTGCTCCAAAGGGAGACGAACTGGGCCTAATCCAACCCTTTTCGAGGAGCTCGTCTAACTGTTTGCGAAGCTCCTTTAACCACCGTGGGGACATCCTATATACGGCACCCTTAGGAGTTCTACTGCCAGGCTCTATCTCAATACGGTGCTGGATGGGCCGCGACACTACTCCTGTTGGCGGCTCAGCTAAGTCTTTAAACTCTTCCAGCAGCTTGGCAATCGCAGGGTCTAGGGGCTTCTCCTCTTTAGGCTCAGTGACCGGCCTAACATAGGCTACAAAAACCTGTTCCTCTGGTTGCTCCTTCTTTACTAACCTTGCAAACGCAGGAGCACTAAGGCAGCAATGCGCCAAGGAGTTGTCTACTCCTGACACATGGAACAGACGGGCAGCCTTGACGCCACCTGACGGACTAGGGAGCCTACACTCGTGCTCTCTCAAGTGGAGTGTGGCCTTTGCTGCCTCTCCCCAATCCATACCTAGGACTATTTCAAACGGGAGGTTGTCCTCGACGAGGAGAGTCGGGGAATGGAGAACCTTCTCCACTTTCTCCTCGTTTTCTAAGCGAAAATACGCCTGGACTCCCTCTACGTATTCCTCTACTCGCATGGTGCAATTGTCTGCGAGGATACTTACTATAGGGTCTGCTAATCTTTGGACCTTTAACTGCAACTTCAACTTCTGTAGCGCCTTCCTACTAATATAACTAGGAGTGGCTCCACTATCCACTAGGGCGCCTACTCGTCCTCTAAATATCTCTGTATCTACTGGTATAAGCTGCCCTTTATTCTCCTTCTTCATCTTGGCCCAGGCGGGCATCCTCTCCTTCAATTCTTTAGCCACGCCTGTGAGGGAGGTGTCTAGAGAGACTCTAACACAAGTAGTCTCTGGACAGCGATCTAGACACAGGCTTGCAACCTCTGCCATAGGCACATGTGGTGTGGGAGTCTCTTGCCGGCTAGCGCTATGTTCCCCACATGGCCTAATGGTAGCGGCAATTGCCACCCCTACCGACGGCAATTTTGGCCCTTGAGCAGCCGTCCGGGTCTCTCTATACTTAGGACAATGTTTAATGATATGGCCCGGGTCACTGCAGTAAATGCACTGGCCCCGGTCCAAACGCTGTTGCCATAAGCCCTGGTCCAGACCCACACTTTCCCAAGGCCTACCCTGCGGTAGCCCTGGGTGACATCCACCTACCCTATAGGGAGACCTATTCCTAGGACGGTTTTGCGGGGGACCTTGACCCCTTCCTCCCGCTTGGCGGTTTCCTCCTCTGCCGCCAACCCCCTGATCGCCCTGAAATCGGCTCCCTGAGGCCCGRCCCCCTTGGCCCTGGCCTCGTCCTCCTCCTTGCGGCCTCCCTCCAGCCGCTACAGCAGCGTAAGTTCTCCCCTGGCTCGCACCGCTGTCCTCATCCTCTAACCCCCACTCAATCTGTTCGTAGGGGATCTCGTCGACGCTACTTTCGTCTAAGGTCAGGACAAAACTATCCTTAGTCTTAACTTGCCCTGAGATAATGCGACCCTTCCACTTCTTTCCCTTGTCTAAGTCCTTGTGCCAAAAAGTGGAAACTGACACAGACTTTGCCTCAAACGCCACCACTTCCCTGCTAAGCGCATCATACGTCATAGCAGGGTCTTGGCTCTTCGCGAAGAAGTGCCCTCTAAATGTTTCGAGCATAGCCCGGTAGAAGAGGTTGACCAATTGGGGCACTGTGACCCCGTGGTCAGGAACAGCCACTAACTCATCCATCGTGCTTTTGAGTGCCCTCGCGCTCTTCCACTGACGGGAATGGATAGTTTGCAGCCTATCGGAGGCCTTAACACTATGAGCAACATCAGCGAATCGCTCGCGCAGCAATTTCATAAACTCAACGAGGGGGGTGAATGTGGAGTACACAACTGCATCTTCATTGCAGTTGGCAGCGCGGACGAGGGACATCGCGAAACTGGCGACTTCATCTCTAAGCACATGAATCGCAATCAACACGTGCTGATCTGGGGGGATCTGTTGCAGATGCACATAGGTCTTCACGTTGGCCTCCCAATTGTTAAAGTTTTCTTCCCTTTTTCCACTGTAGGAATCAGGGAACTTGACTTTGACTGGCTCCCTGCCAGAACGTGCCTCCTCCTCCTTGGGAGTTGCCTCCTTGACGCCTTCAATGGCGCCGACGCAGAAGCGTTCAGTCTTCTCGAGGCGATGGTTCACCTCGACTCCTACTGCGCCTACCAGTTCGCGAACAAAGTCCCGAAATCCCATTCGCATCGAGCGCACGGCCATATCCTGACTTCGACTAAACTCATACTGTTGTTCCTGTACTCGGGCTAAACGCTCAACACTCTGGGCAATGATCTCTACCTTTTGTTGGAGGTCTACCTGGGGGGTCAATCGTAGAGTCAGTTTTTGCACCTCCTCCAGATCTTTGACCGCTTCACTCGCCGCGTCCACCCTCTTCTTCTTCTCCCTCATCATCCTTAACTTCCATTCCATCCTCTTCTCATCCTCCATTGCCTGCCGCTTCAAAACATCTCCTTCTGCTTCCCACTCCTTCATAGCGGCTTCCTGCTCATCCTTGGGGATGTACATGGCTACCTCTTCTTCTTCCCCCAAGGATAAGTCGGCGACCCATTCTGAGATCCTCTTCTCCATCTCCTCACTCTTGCTGCCACTGTACTGCCCTCGCTGCTCTCTTCTCCTTACCAGTGGCTGATCATCTTCCTCCTCTTCTTCTTCCACCTATTTGACCCTCTCCTTTTCTCTGGCCATCTCCTCCTCTATCTTTTTCAACTTTGCCGCCTGCTCCTCCTGTAGGGCCTTTTTCTTGGCCTCTTTCTTCTCTTTCCTTTCCCTCAGGATGGCGGTCATCTTCTCCTCCTCTTCCTTTGTGTAAGGTGTAGTGGAGGTGCCGCCCCGGGTTCCTACTCTACATGTGAGTGTGGGCCAAAACCCCAGGGGGAAGAGGAGACGCCAAAGGGTCCCCCACAAGGAGAACCCAACAAGTAACCCATACATCGGATAGTCATCCATGGTGGTGTCAAGTGCACGACAAGGAGTCCCACTCCTCACCACTTAGACCTACCCGGACACTGACCCACTGACTGACTCTCTAAGGACCACAAGGTGGAACCCTGTCAACTATGGTCACTAATTTGGACCTACTCTAAGGTTGTCACTACTGAACCAACAGCTGATCTGGAGGCATTTAAGGAGATCCCCCAAACTCCGCAAGAATTCTTTAACGTTGCAGACAGGACGACGTGATAAGCTTGGTTCTTGCCTGTGCTTTCAGCCCACAACTCAGCCTTTCCGACCTACTGTGCCACACCGAGCAGCCCGCCGGTCTGTATCGGTCCTTCGGAGGGTTCGTATCCCCCGGGACAGTCAAGTCGTCAGACACAGATCCTCAACCTTACTTGGTCCGGTAGGGGAGTGGTTCAAACAGACCCTCAACACTTAAAGACTGCCTGGTGTGTCAGCCTTAGCTGCCGTTCAGGCCCACTGAGTCCTACCAACCGTTTCCAGTCGGTCAGCACCGGTCCTTGGGAGGGTTATGCCCCTCTGGAAAGTTGGATCAGCCACAGTCTCAGCCCTACAAGGTCAGACTAAGGTTTCGTCATCCAAGCACTATCCTTCATCCACAGAGTGCTACCACTTAGGACAGAAGAGACTCGATGCAGAAAGGAAAGGCAGACAGACTTAGACTCAGCAAGTACCGTAGGGTGAGTGCACATCCACAGGGTGAGGGGGCAAGGTAAGGGCTTGGCGAGATATTACCGACTCCAGCTTGGTCCAAGTCTTGGTCACCGGCGCCGGTCAACTCCTCGGTCAACGCTGCATGACCCCGGTCAACACCCCGGTCAACCTTCCGATCAACACCCGGTCAACCCTCCGGTCAACTTCCACCTCGACTATGGCTGCCGGGACCTTCACCTTCACCACCCTTGTCTCTTTCTTCCCCTTCCTTCACCTTCTTCTTCCTTGCTGTCTTTCTCTTTTTTTCTTTTATCTTTTTTCACCCTCGGCTATGTCTGTCTTCTTCTCCGATGTCCCTCCTTCCACACTTCTTCCCCTCTCTCTCTCTTCAGTCCCTCCTCTTTGTCCTCCTTCGTCACTCAGTGGTACGGCTCCGCGGCTATAACCGCCTTCTTCCTTCTTCGTGGGTCTGCGCAGCAACTTCACAGGTATGTAACAACCAATCTTGTATCGCTTATCTCTCTCTCTCTCTCTCTCTCTCTCTCGCCGTAGCGGTATCTTCAGCGCAGCAGGTAGCAACCCAATCTTGTATCACTAATCTCTCTCTCTCTCTCTCTCAGTCTTCTTCTTTGTCGTGGTCTCCTTGCAGGTGCGCGGCGGCTTCTTCCACCTCAGGTCCGCTGTGGCGGACTGTCACCTTCAGCGGCCACCTCTGCTATGGCGCCTCAGCCCTGCACACGACTTCGCACATGGAATAGCGGGTACCTGCTCCGATAGCAGTGCAATCAGACTCGACTTATTCACACTTTTCATGCACGTGAACAGCAGCACACCAAACTGGCGACATGCACTCATGCACGTGAACAGCAGCACACCAAACTGGCGACATGCGCCCACACAGTACTCAGAGATATGGCTTCCAGGTAAGTTCACTTCCACTGGCTATGGCGACTGAGCGCCCAACAACCCACTGTTCACACCCTCAGGATCACCCTGGATATCCCACACGCTTCACTCAGAACACTCACGTCACACACAAACACACTACTATAGCTATGGCAGCGCTAGCTGCCACTACCCTATCGCTATACTATGCTTCTCTGCCCACTTCGACCTCGGGCCCACTGCAGGCCTCCTCGCACAAGACGCTGAGGCAGCGCTTCCGCATGGCTTCCGCAGGAATGAATGAATGGTTGTGCGCAGCCTCTTGATTTATACTTCTGTGAGTCGTTGGTCTCCCCTGTTTCCCTGGCCCACGGTGTGCACAGTCCCAAACGGTACTTGCTTGACTGGACCGGACTGGCTGGACTGGGACTGCTGACTCTGCGTGGTGGACTTCCACCATTTGCCCACTTGCCTAGACCTACAGTGGACTGACTTCCGAAAGGCCACTTCTAGAACTCTCTACCTGTCCCTATAGCAGCTACGACTCTGCCCTTTCAGGTAAGCAGCAGCTACGACTTTGACCCTTCGGACAATCTACAGCTACGACCTCTGGACTCTCTAGACTCCTACCAGGCAGGTCTACAGTTCGAATCCCCTATACCCTGTAGCCTACGAGATCCTACCTACCACTGGCGGTCCTACAGGTCGCAGGTTCAAATCTACGGGTTTACACAGGTACTGTACAGAGGTAATGTGGGGAACTAGGGATGGAGCCCTGGGATCTGCATCAGCTACTGCGAACTGGTGAATATCGTTTCAGGAATTACTCAGATGAGAGTACGTGCAGTTTGGAAAATGATAACTGCAAGAGGGATTTCCAGTACCATTTAAAAAAAAAAACGAATTTCGGAAAAAAATATTTCGAATTTCCAAATAACGGGAAATTGCAAAAGGAAATCGAAATTTTCGAGAAAAAGATATTCCGGATTCCCAACAACGAAATTTTGAATTTTCAGAAAACGAAAACGGAAATTTCAGGTGTTGCGCTATTGCGATTTTCCACAACAGAAATAACGGAAAAACAAAATCCAAGAAAAGAAAAAAAAAAACGATTTTCGGCAGTGAGGTCAAAATCATGATTTTGGGGGCTAACTAGTGTGCTCTAATCAATCAATCAAGACTAATCAGCTACTTAGTCCCCGCACACGTGTCAAATCAGGTTGTCCTGATTCACGTGCGGTGCTCAGATACCAACTGTTACATGCCCAGTTGGGCGATGTACATATATAACCAAGGATCCGCAACGTGATAAAAAGGACTGAATGGACAATGCAGTGCTAGTGAAGTAGCTTGAGCAGCATAATTGGTTGAATGACGAGATCCTTATCTCAACAAGCAATGTACACTCTAATACATACAAAATGGCGCCTTGTGGCACAGCGGAAGACTTAGATACGTGTCCTGACCTGACCGGGACTGAACTTCCTCACGTAGTACAAGACAGCGCAGCAGAATGCTAGAATACCAATGATGAGCCCAATGAATGTTGCAATGCAGACCAAATATACATCATCTTCATCACAAGGTGTGAAGGAGGCCTAGCGCTACACACAGGAAGAAAGCGCCAGGTCCTGATCATGCACAGACGAAGAGGAGGGGAACAAACGAAGAAGAGGAGGGGGGAGATGGGAAAGTCGTCAACACCAACTCTTCGTTACAAGTCCCAAATAATCCCTCGTCAAAATGTCTGAAGCCCAACATCGAGTCTGGATCCAAATGTCACCAAGCTCTCTCTCGTAGTCTGCTGATGCAGTGAAGTCAGATAGCGAGAGGGTGAGAGGGAGATGGTGGACTGAGAAGAGGAAGAAGACGAACTCTCTCTCTCTCTCTCTCTCTCTCTCTCTCTCTCTCTCTCTCTCTCTCTCTCTCTCTCTCTCTCATGTGCCAGGTACTAACCTATGAAGTTGGCGATGTGCTGGAGCTATGGCGCTGCAAGTAAGTCTCCCTGGCCTCCGCCCAATCTCTCTCTCTCTCCAGTACTACTCTAGCTACTACTAGCACCCAGCGCTGAAGACTACTGCTAACGCTACTAGCGCCCAGTGCTGAAGACTACTGCTAGCGCTACCACTACTCCTGCAGCCCTCCTCCAGAGTGCTGCTGCCGAATCCTGAAGACTACCTCCTGCCTCCTGAACAGCACGTGAAGTGCATGTGAAGTACCTAGGAACTACCTGCAGCCTACAGGGCGGGCCAGTCTTATATAGTGCTGGCCCATCCAGGAGGCTGCTCTTGCCAATGCCAAAACGTGCCAGACCCTGGGGTTGAAGCTCAAACAAAGGTTGTCTTGAAAATAGGCCAAACTGGCCTGAGCTAAAACCCTGGTCTGGTGCCTGAGTTTCAGGGCAGGTCGACCTTATGAGGGCCCGAAAATGGCCCTCCGTTTTAGGCTGAAAAGACTCAGAGCCGGAAAGACCATGTTTTAGGCTGAAACGACGCAGGGCCTGTAGGCCCTTGTTTTCAGGCTTTCAGGCTGAAACGACGCAGGGCCTGTAGGCCCTTGTTTTTAGGCTTTCGGGCTAAAAACGTCACGGGCCTGAAAATGGCCCGTGCAGCCTGTTGCAGGCGCAGCATGTAACAGAGAGAGAGAGAGAGAGAGAGAGAGAGAGCATGACGAAGACCAAGAGAGTACAGAGAGAGTGAGCCAGGGAGAGAAGAGAGTCACCTACCTTGATGAGGAGGCTGGAATTGGGTTATCGACCGAGTACGGATCTGGGCCGCCCGACCCACCGGCGCCCGCCCGGGGGAGGTCCTGGGCGGCCTGGCCGGGCAGGCGGCCCGGTTGGGGGCCGGGCGCCCCCAGAACACCTTGTTGGCGGGTGGTTTCCGACCCCACATCGGGTGGTTTTGGCCTCCCCAGGGCCTACCTGGTCCAACCATGCCGAGAAAACGGCGCGTCGGGCCTGTGAGGCCTGTTTTTTTTTCTGAATTTGGGACAGCCCTCTGGCCGTCGATCATCCATGATCGACGGCTAGAGGGCCGTTCGTTTTTGGAGGGAAACGGAGGCCCCGTTTGAACTAGCGCCTGGCTGGGG